CCTCCCTCATGAACCCTTGATAAGTTGTAGATTATTATTTTCATATCTTACATCATCCTCTGTCACCATTCACCCACTTTTCTGTTGTTCGTCCTCCTGGGAGGGGGTTATATGTTGATCCTTTTGATAGATGTCCCCTTTCTCCCCCCACCCTCCCAGATCCTCCTGGTATCTCTGTTCTCACTGTTGGCCCTGAGAGGTTTAGACTGATAAAACTTTCTTTATGCAGAGTGAAAACAAAGAAAATGTAGCCACTGAAAAGGTTATCAAATCAGCAGACCTTTGTCTGATACAGTGCAGGAAATGAGCCCCTCAGGTTGGAAGGCATTCAAAATAGAGAGTGCCCCCTCAAAGTGGAGATGACACTGAATTGAGCAGAGGTTTCTGGACTTTCATCTGCGGATGTGGTACAACTCAAAATGAGAGGAAACAGCCACAAATATACATTAATAAAACTGGAAGTCCTCAAAATGAGATGAAATGCAAGACGATTATTATCTTAAGCAGTACCAAAAGATCTCATTGACCTCGAGCTGATTCCATCTCATAGCAACCCTTTGCAGGGTTTCCAAGACTGCAAATCTTACAGGTGTCGACAGCCTCGTTTTTCTCCGAGGTGGTTGGTGGTTTGACCTGTTAGCAGCCCAATGCCTAACCGACAGCATCACGTTTCCTTGACCTACGCAGTGGTGAGCAGAACTTGACCGGTATTGGCCACAATGAATTGTGGTCCACCATGCTGGGAATGACAGATTGAAGAGGAATGGTGTCCCCACCTGAAACAAAGCCCAATGCCGTGCATATCGACCCACCCAATAGGACAGAGTGGAACTGTCCATTGGACTTCTGGGCTATACATCTCAAGGAAGAAGTGACTTGTGGGTTTGAATAGCTGACCTTTCTGTAAACACTCAAGCTCTTAGTCCATATCACGCTCCTTTGTGGCATCCTGCTCATTGTCAAAAAACATGTCAAGCTCTATCTCGAGGAACACTGCTGACAGTGATAGGATAATACCCACACACCTACAGGGGATATCAGTTGATATGACTATTTTTCACATCTGTGCACCAACCACTGAAGCCAGAGATGGAAAAATGGAAGAATTCCACCAATTTCTGCACTCTGAAATCAATCAGATATGCAATCAAGATGCATTGACAACTCCTGCTGATCGGAATGTCACTGATGATGGCGGGGATGGTGCAGGACCAAGCAAGGCTTTGTTCTGTGGTACACTGGGTCCCTGTAAGTCAGAGCTGACTTCACGGCATCGAACCCCACCACCACCCCACCACCACCACCACCACCACCACACAAACCTACTGCCATGGGTTTGATAACAATTTATATCAGTCCTACATAGGGTTTCCTACGCTATAATTCTTGATGTGAACAGAGAATGCCATCTTTCTCCCAAGCACCTAAGATACATGCTGTCATTAGAGATCTATTTTTCTCTTTCATTTACTTATAGTTTACTTAATACATTTTGGGACTTTGATGTTAGGGGCACAGATATTTATAATTGTTATATCTTCTTGGTGAACCAGTCCTTTAATTATTCTATACTGCCCTTCTTTGTTGCTTATACTGCATCTTAGTCTATTTTGACAAATATTAATATTGCCACTCCTGTTCTCTTCTGCTCACTGTTTGCTTGGAGTCCCCCCCACCCCAACCTCTAACTTTTAACCAATTTATAACTTTGTGTCTAAGGTTTGTCACTTGTATAGACAATGTATGAATGGGTCATAGTTTATTAACCATTCAGCCACCCTCCTCTTGACTAAAGCATTTAATACATTTATATTCACTGACAAGTTATCAATAGGGAAGGATTTACTTCAGGCATTTACAGATAAATATATTAAAACGGGACTTTATTAAAAGGTTTGTGGAAAAATAGAATTGAGAGATAATGGAATTTTCTCAAAAACTTTTTGATCTATTATCTTTCAATTCCATTTCCCCACAAAATTTTTGAAGTCCCTTCTTATGTACTTGTGTGTGTGTGTGTGTGTATGTGTATGCATATATGCATATATATATAATTTCACCAAGAAGGCAGCACAGCAGAAGGAAACACTGCCCGACCCGGCGCCGTGGTCACAAACGCTGTGTGATGTATAACTAACAGCGCTGTGACCCTCGCTGCCGTGAGCGCAGAGCTGTTTAAAGCATGCATTCCCCGTTACTTGCTGTTTTGGGATTGCTGAAGCGTTTGCTTCCCTGCGTCACTTCTTTGGCGACTAGCTTTAGTTAAGTTTTGTTGTTACCGGGAGGGTTACAGTCAACATTCTTCATTATACTAACTCGATATTATCTTGAAACCACTTTAATTTCCTCAACATGAAAAAATTCTATATCTACACTAATCATCCTGCCTTTTATTTAGATGTTTTCATCAATTATAATTTTGTATCTTGATTTCCCGGAATCCAAGTTTAAGTTGATTTTATTGTTAAGTGTATTCAAGAGGTTGTTACATGTCATTACTTTTCTTTTGGGAGAATGTACTCCAGTAATTATTGTAGACTAGCCTGGAACTAACACATTTTCTTTGTTTTTGTGTGCCAGGGACTGTTTGAATTTCATGCTCAGTTTTCAATAACTTTCCTGGACATATTTGTCTTGGCTGGTACTTGTTTGCATGGTTTCTGAAGAGAAGTTGGCACTTCATCTTATCCGAGTCTCTTCATCTGTGCAAGAAGCCCTGGAGGTGCTGTAGGGTAATCATTGGGTGGATAACGGCAATGTTAGTGGTTCAAACCTCAGCTAGTCATTGGAAGACAGGGGAGGCTGTATATGGGTTACAGTCTCAGGAACTCTCTATAGGGTTGCCATGAGTCGGAACCGGATTGGTGGCAGTGGGTTTTGGTTTGGTTGGATTGGGACAGGAAAAGTCTGAAGTTCAAACCCAGTAGCCACTCTGGAAGGAAGAAAGATGAGGTGATTGCTCCTGGAAAGGGGTGCCAGCTTGGAGACCCTCTGTAGCAGTTCTGCCCTGTCCTACGGGGTCACTCTGAGTCAGAATGGACTCGGAGGCAGTGAGTTTCGGGGTGTCTGTGATAGTTCGCTTTCTTCGTCCAGGCATGAACTAGCTCAGGACAGTTTACTCAGGTGCTTGGGTCTATTCTGCCCCAAGCTCACTACTCCGTGACTAAGTACTTCCAGGTTAACTCGTAGAGCAGGTTCCAGGCTCCTCTTCACATCTGGAAAGGTGTACCCCTTGTCAACTGTGACTAAGTACTTCCAGGTTAACTCGTAGAACAGGTTCCAGGCTCCTCTTCACATCTGGAAAGGTGTACCCCTTGTCAACTGTGACTAAGTACTTCCAGGTTAACTCGTAGAGCAGGTTCCAGGCTCCTCTTCACATCTGGAAAGGTGTACCCCTTGTCAACAACCGTCGTCCATCTGTATTTCCCCAAAGCCCCTTGATGCACTCTCTTCCCTCAGGCCTTCCCTCACCCCAATACCTCCTTCGGGCCCTCTTGTCCCACAAGACTTGAATTAGAATTAGTTTGTGTGTCTGTCTTTCCTACAAGATACATTTTAAAAAATCATTTTATTGGGGGCTCATAATCATCCATACATCCATCCATTGTGTCAAGTACATTTGTGCATTTGTTGCCATCGTCATTCTCAAAACATTTTCTTTCTACTTGAGCCGTTGGGATCAGCTCCTCATTTCCCCCCTCCCAAACCCTTGATAATTTATAAATTATTATTATGTTTTCATGCCTCCTACTTCTTTCCTCTATTTCGGTTTACTTTCCTCTTGTCTCACTATCATGCTCAGTCTTCATCTGGGTTTCAGTAATTCATCTCAGTTACACTGCCCTTGATCAAGCCCTACTAGACATCCTACACCCTCCTCGCCATTTATTTTCGATCACTCATTGTTATTCCCTTGTCCCTGGGTTTGTTAACACCCACTTCCTTACCCCCACATCGCCCACTCCCATGTCCCTCCCCCCCACCAACCCTCTGTCCATTGTTTTCTCCTCCAGATTGTTTAGCCCACCTATCTGATCTAGAGAGACATGCAGAGACAATCATAATCACAAAAACAAGACAGAGCAAAACAAAGCAACAAAAGAAAACAAAACAACAACAAAACCAATGACAAAAAAAGAAAGGCCTATAAATAGTTCAAGGTCTGTTTGTTGACCTTCAGGAGTGTTTTCCAGTTAAGTCTGATGGGGTGCCATGCCCTGGCCCCAAAGTCTATTTTTGGTATTCCCTGGGGACTTCATTGCTCTGCTCCCCTTGCTGTTCTGTTGCACACCCTTAGTGGTTTGCCTTGGTGTGGTGGAGTGAGATCAGGCATAATTCCCATACTGTGTCTCCAGTGTTGTCCCCCATAGTGCTCTGGGTCAGTGAGGGATGTCCTGTCTTGTGATGAGGCTGGACTTATGATCCTCTCTGTACATTGGCTGCTCTGAGCAGGAATATCATCCTTGGGGCGTGGTGGGCCAGAATGTGCTCCACTCTCTCCCTCCTCCTTTGTTTGCTTCTGTGTGCTCTGATCAGATGTGTCCCTCTCTTGAGCTGTAGCTTCAGTGTTGTCCTATGAAGTGAATTCTGGGTGGGGAGGGGGTTGTCCATGTAGTTGGGGCAGGGGCGGGCCCCTCAGACCTCTCTGTTGGTTCCCTGCTTCATGCTGGCATGCTGCATTCAGGACAAGACACGTTCTGAAGCGCTCCACCCAGTCTTCCTGATCCTCTAGCCTGGAGAGCTGAGACTTGCCCAGGGAACTTGTCATCAAGCTTGCTTGAGGCAGACTGAAAGGCAAGAGAGACTTTCTCCTTGGTCCCTTCATCATTGTCCAGGGCTCTCTATGACGCAAGGCACCACAAAGGACGTGTCACACTGGCAAATCCGAGGGACTTCTGCCTCGTTGCTATCAGGTCTCCTCGTAGCTTGTTGGTTGTGAGATGGCTGTATCCTACCACACTGGAGCCTCAGTCAGCAGTCCTCAGTGCCAACCAGAGGTGGGGGCAGACAGACCCAAATGGACTTCTCTCTGGAAGGTCTACCTGTTGGTCTCAGAGACATGAGCTAGGGGCACGCAGGGAGGCAGGAATTTGATAACTATGAGAGCAGATTCTGCTGCAGGGACATTCAGTAGCAATCAGCGGTCATTTGCAGTCCACAGTGTCCTGGTAGGGGGGTTCTGGCACTCCAGATGGACCCCCAGGGAGGTCTGTTTCACTGAATTTACATCAGAAGCTTGGCATTCTGTCCCTTTATACAATCAAGGGTCACATAAGAGGGGCTACTCTGAAAACCCCGAAATTTGTTTCAAAGCTATGTATTAAAAAAAATTTTTTTTTTTAAACAAAACAACCTGCAAAGTACTCTCCGTTACACTTAATACATTTGGCAAATCTGTGATTCCCTTCTTGGAAACATTTCTCAAACTCATCTGTTTGGATGGCTGATAGTACCACCCTCTTTTTCCTTCTTCACCTCTCAGATGTCATCGAATCGCTGTCCTTTCATGTCTCCATTCATGGAAACAAAAAGAAGATGCACAGAGTGAGGTTAGGTGAGTAAGGTGCACGGGGCAAGAGAGGCATGATGATTTTTGCCAAAATCACTGAGATGGCTGCGTGAGCAGGTGCCTTGTCGTGGTGGCAACACCAATCCTCCATCTGCCACAAATCAGGCCTTTTTTGTCACACAGTTATGCTATCTGTCCAGAATCTCTAAACAGTCTGACCTGGTGGAATGAACTCCAAACACACACACCCCTCATGTCAAAAAATAAAAACAAATGAGCATAGGTTTTAAAAAATAACTAAGGAAGGAAGCTCCTTTTGGGGAGCCAGTTCCCAGCTCCCAGCAGCCAGTGGCCTCTGTGGCTGGAAGGGAGGGTAAGGATGGTGGGAGAAGCACTTCGTTGTTGATTCATTTATTCTCTCATGCCTGTGGGCAATTAAACTTGCTGTTTTCTTCTGCTCCCCAGTTCAGAGTTCCTCAGATCTGAGCAGCATTTTCTTATTGTATTTCTGGCCGAGGGTTGGGTCCCTAGTCTGCTGACACCACCATCTCCCCAGGCTCTCTTGATAGCATTTTCAGTGTCACTGATTACACTCCTCATGCTGTACAGTTGTTATCGATATCCTCTTACAAATTACTCTACCACCATTAGTAAAAACTCAATGCCCCCTAAGCAAAGACTCTTCCTCCTTCACCCATGGTCACCATAGGTCAAGCCTGGTTCCCTTTTTCTTTTTTTAGGAAATAATATTCACATATCATACACTTCCATAGTTAAATTGCTTTTAAAAAGAGTTGTACATACATCATCACCATCAGTTCGAATGCTCCCTCCCCACCCCCACATTCATTGTTTGCTCTCCCATCTCTACCCCTCACATTCCCTATAAACCATTGCACCAGTTATAGTTAGTATACATCCATTTCTTCTGTGTTTCATAAACTAGGAAATCCAACAGAAACAATTAAAAACAGAGACAGAAAGAAGAAAACAACAACAATAATAATATAAAGATAAAAATAAGGAGTAAGAAAGAAAAGACCAACAAAAATATTTTAAAATCCAGAGAAGGAATTTCTATTGTGGAACAAGAGAGAAGTATTTGAGCCTAGAGCAAATTCTAGTTGGGTCAAGGTCAGCTGACCAAGCATATTATACCATGGTTTGAGCCACACGATCAATAATAGTTTATTATAATCGTGGTCTGATAATAAAGTTGTTTGAGTCCCTCGTTTGTGACTAAAGGGAATCTGCCAGAGGCGTAATTATTATCCTTATTTTACAAGTTAAAAAGTGAGACCCAGTGAGATTTAAGTGACGTTAGGATCCCAGAGTGATAGAATTAGAACCCAAGCTTTTAACCAGCACATATCGCCCCTCCCATGAAAGCGATTTCACCTGTATGCTTAGAAGACACCAGGTTGTTACATTTTCTCTCTTTGGCATTCAGAGTACAGTTTACTAGCATCTCAAATCCTTGGGTCAACCTTCCAGGCCCATTTCACTGGTACCCAAGTCACCCTAGTTTCAGTCTTCGAAAGGGATGCCTCTTAAGACTCTTTACAGCTCACCCAGATGGAGTTTGTAAGGGGTGGCATCATCTTGGATATTGAGCTTTCTGTCAGATGACTGTTTTCAAACTTTCAAGTCCCCATTTCTCCTTAGGGAAGTTCAGCAATGTTCTCTGGCCATCCCTCTCTCCCTTAAGACTGCACCCACCTTTAAGCCCAGGTCCAACTCTCGGAGGGAGCGCTGGAGCTCTCTGGTGAGGCTGTTCATCCGTTCACACTCCTGGAAGGCCACCACAATGTAGGGGGTGCGCTCCTCCACTTTGGCCATCAGTTCTGGGATGTTAAACTCATCCGTCACCCGCTCCAATATTTCTTCCAGGAGGACCTTGACCTGTTCCCAGAAGGACACACAGAGATGAGAAGAGGTTAAAATTCTCCAGAAGACAACACCCTACTGCAGTATGGCACTAATAATGCCAATCACCGATCACCTGCCATCGTTGCTCCCACATCACCAGTTCAGCCTCTTGCCTGATTGTCGAGGCCAGCTGGGTCAGGTGCTAAGGACTGATCATTGGACTGCCTCCCTGCAGAGTGTGAAGCTCCCTGAGACTTGTTTGACCATCTTGAAAGATAAATACAGTTGCCTCTCCAGAAATTGAGAGTTAAAAATATAGTCAGTTATGAATTTCCATAGGGTTCTTCATGATTTCTACTCTTGGATTCTGGACGACATCCCCATCGATTATGAAGTTCTCTCAACCCTTGAGCCCTCCTACCACACACCCCGTCAGCTAGAACCACCAGGGTCTCGTGAGTGGGACACTGGCGTCGAGGCAGAGGATACCGAGTGCCTTTGGTGCAAGCCCTTGGAGGATGAGAATGACGCGTTGGAGCAAGTGATTAAGCTCAGGAGGCCTTCAGCAGAGAGAGAGAGAGAACAAGGCTGGACTAAGAGAGGGAGGCAGGCGGTCAAGAGGGTGAGAACACGCGAGCAAGTGTGGGGTCAGCACTTCCTGAAGTCTCCTATAGACCTCTGTTGGGACTGTCTGTTCCCTATCTCCCAGGTTAAAAAAATAATTAAAAACGGAACTGATCCAAATCATAGGCCTCTTTATTAAACAAAATATCAAAGTATGAAGCTGTTGTGCCTTAACATGACTTCCATCTGAAGGTGGTGTTCCCATTGTTCTACTCCTTCCCTGAAGAAATCTGTATGCATTGATTTATACCACATTAAAATAGGAGCTGTGGCTTCCTTGGGCGACTCAAATGATATTTCTTTGAGTTTTGAGACCAAAAAGGAATCTGAATGAGCAAGATCAAGGTTGAAGGGCTGTCATAGGACATCCCTTGCTCCCCCCAGAGAATGAGCAGGTGCACTGGTAGGGTGCAACTGTGCTGGCCTTTTTACCAATGCAGCTTTCAATTTCCTAGAGCCTTCTTGACAATCTCCCACGATTGTCCTATGTCTTTTGAGAACACCTATCAAGATTTTTACCCTGGTGAGCTCCTCCCAAACAGTTGCTGTAAGCTTCTGAGTTGACCTTGGCTTTTCCTGGCCCCACGGATCTCCTCAGGAGAAACTGCAGGCCCCTAATGGGACTGCTGTCGTTAGGTGCCTTAGAGTGAGTCAGTTCAGACCCACAGTGACAACAGAATAGCCCCGCCCAGTCCTCTGCCACCCTCACAGTTGCTGTCATGTCTCAGCCCACTGCAGCCCCTGTGTCAAGACAAATATATTACTGAGTGAACTTGTCTTCAGCCATCCACTGATCACAGGAACATGCTTAAACATGTTTTGTTTGTAGTAAACCTGTGCGCGGATGAACTGGAAACCTAGTTCTCAGTATCTATTGATCAACTCTCTATTTCTCCTCCTATGAACAGGCTCTGTATCTCCTTTTGTGAAAATGTTGTTCATCAACATGTGCAGTAAAATAAATGTTGCTTGGTCCTACACCGTTCCCGTGATTGGTGGTAAAGTGGACATTGTGCATTTGAAAGCGGATGGACAGGCTTTTCTTCCTAGTCTGTCCTCCTCTGGGGGACCACTGAGCCCTGTTCATCATCAGAGTAACCTAGACGCTTCCACTGACACGAGTGGTGGTTGTGCATGAGGTACGTTGGCTGGAAATGGAATTAAGGTCTCCTGTTGGTACATTGGCTGGAAATGGAATTAAGGTCTCATTAAACACTAAGTAGTTTATGAGCTTGATTACTAACCAAGAGTTTGCAGTTCAACTTCACCCAGAAGGGCAGTGTAGGAAAGGTCTGACAATCTAAAAAACTAACAATTGAAACCCTTACATAGCATGGTTGTACTCTGACGCACAATGGGACGTGTCAGATTTGGATCTGACTTGACTTTGCTGGCAACTGGCCATTGGGTCAATGTGGACCCACAGCAACACTCTATAGGGTTTCCAAGGTGGTCAATCTTTATGGGTGCAGATAGCTTCTTCCTGCAGCATGGTGGTGGTAGGTCTGAGCTGCCAACTTCGTAGAGCTCTCAACCTCCCACCCACTCAAACCCCAAATTCAAACTATCGGTTGATTCAGACTCAGCAGCCTTCTAGGCCAGGGTAGAGCTGCCTCTGTGGCATTTCAAGACTGTTAACTCTTTATTGGAAAAGAAAGTCTCGTTTTTCTCCCATGGAGAAGCTGGTGGGTTTGATTTGCTGACCTTGTGGTCATCACCACTACTCCCCAGGGTTCCTCAGTGCAACCCTAAGGTTTGTGAAATTATCTGTTTTGTAGGACAGTCAAAGGGCCCAACCCATCTCTCATCCAGGTAAGACCAATAATAATCTCTGTCTCTGGCATTTTAATATTTGAATCACAAGCCTGGAACTCAATGGCAGGAAGTGGTTGGAGGCACTGTGAGGTTAATTACCTGAAAAATACAGTTCACTGTCGTTACTCCCTAGAGCCACAGACTACTCTGTGTCCTTTCGTAGGCAAATCCTTTGATACAGTGAGCTAGTTCTGTGTTGTTTGTTTGTAACCAAGAATCCTGAATGGACGTAACCCAGTCATTTAGGCCTCGATGTTCTCATCTCCCAAAGTTTCTCAGAGCATTTCCTCCCACCTGCCTCCTCTCCCCAGCTCCCAGCGTTGTTGTGAAATCAAATCAAAAGAGCTCATGAATGTGGCAGCCTCTGTAGGTTGGGAAGATGTCTAAGTACAGAAGATTATTAATATTCACCTTGCTTTGTATTGCACACATAGTGTACAGTCTCCAGGAAAAGAGCTGATGTTAGAAGAAAAAAAAAAGAGGTAAAAACCCTTCACTGTTTCACAAATGGGTCTCCAGTGCTGTGACAGCAAAGCTGGGATGGGTTTTAATGGCACAGGAACGTAGCTGCTCGGGTAGAAGACACATGGCTGGGATGATCTCATATTTCTAACTCTGGAGTTGAGTTTGAAGAAACTGGACATTACTCACAAAGGAGTGAAAAGACAGCCAGGAGGCATTGCTCCCACTGTGGTCCATCACCCACCAGGGCCAAGGAAAGTGGAAAGGGCTAAGGAAAGACCACCAGAGAGGGAGCAAGTCCACAGACATATACAACACCCCACGCCCCTTTTTGTAGCGTAGGGAATACCCAAGTTGAGTGAGTTCCAAGGACTGCATTCCATTTTTTCTTATCAGGGAACACCTCTGTGTCTGTTTTTTCACCCCGCCTTCCTTTTATTGGAAACGTGGTAAATGCTTAATATAAAACATTTACATATTACCCACCCACTGGCATCTAGTCAATTCTGACTCCTAGTAACCTCTGCAAGGTTTCCAAGGCTGTAAATATTTAAAGGTGCACACAGCCTCATCTTTTTCCCTTGGAGGGGCTAGTGGGTTTGAACCACCAACCTTGCGGTTCGCTTAGCTGAGAATGCCACCAGAGCTCTTGTCTGAACATAGAGAAATGTATTATATCGGAAGCAAAATGCTCTCTCAGTCTTGCCTCTTTTCTTCAAAGAGAGAAACAGAAATAAACAAAACAGTTAAAAAAAAGCCGTCATTTTTTTTTATTCCTCCAGATGTTCATTAGCATACACAACTGTATTTATCAACCATCATCCATCCATCTGCCCATCCTGTTCATCTAGTTTTTATTTCTTTTCTTTCTCCCTATCTTCTCTCCTCTCCCTCCATCCTTTCCTTATTTTCTATTTCTCCCCACTACCTCCTCTTTCATCACTACAAACAACTCTTCCAGCTTGCTTTTTTCCACTTTAAAACAAGACAGATATAGTCCTTTGCTAGTACATATGGATTTGCCTTATCTTTTTAAACATATTCAATCATAGAGTCAGTCTCCCATTGAAGGATGTTTGGTATGTTTACTACTACTTATTGCCATATATTATTACTTCCTGCAATAAAGAAATATAAATATGCCCCAGATCTGTGCACTTTGAGTGCTTCCCAAACCCACCTGTTCCCCACTTCCTAGGGGAAATAGGTTTCAGTTCCTGGAAACATAATTTTGAGGAAAAGAAAAAGAATGATTAGAACGTTTCAGTGTCTTGTAAAATTGTGCTATAATTCAAACCTCTACCAACAGAGACAAGAATGACTGTTTCCTTATGCTCTTGCCTGTAAATATTATCATACTTTAAAATCTTTATCCATAAGTGAATGATATGTCACTTACCTTCATTAAATTATGAGTGGTGTTAAGAAGCTTTTATTATTTTTATTGGCCTTTTGTATTTACTATGATTCTTTTATGTCCCTTCTTACCCACCCTCTTCCCTTTCTCTCTCTGTCCTCCTCCTCCTCCTCCCCAGATAGAAGAACTCCTTGTACGTTAGCAAATTCTATCCCCTGCCTTGTATCTGTGCTGTAAAAAAAGTTCATGGTGTTTGGGGCAGGTAATGGAAAATGTAAGAGAAGTTAAACTTGTCAGTCTTTTTCTTATAGATTATGACTTAAAAATATAAAAAGATCTTATGAGACGTACCCAAGTTTTCTTCCAGCACTTTCCTAGTTTACATTTAAAAGTTTGGGCTATTTGAAATATAAAGAGTGAGGGAACCCGCTCAGTCTCTCTCCAAATGACTGACCAGTTGCCAACTAAAGAAATCTAGCGCTGCAGGGAAAACGGGAGAGGCTGGCTACCTCCTCATCAGGAAGACCGGAAAGGTGTACAACCCACTGATAGAGGGGGTGAAAGAGCCCATTGCTAATCCAAAGACTGGACATAGAAGACAAGGGTTAGTTTGTTAAAAATCTGAAATGTAGGACTGCTTTCCCTTGTAGTAAAAATCCCCTTTAAGGTCAATCAGTAGAAGTGTTTCAACCCAGGAAGGTGGTAAGCAAGGCCATTAAGACGAAGCAGCCAGGAAGGAAGCCTCCCCCAGTCAGGGCCCTCAGGGGCTGGTGAC